CGTGCTTAGCCCGCGATTCACGGTGTCCGTCTTATTGTCGGTTAACCGGAGGCGGAACTGTCGATGGGCGCGGATCAACGAGCAAAAACCTGGTCTCTAGGTACTCCGTTTCCGGCCCCTCCTCCGCTCCATCCCCTCCCGATTCGTGTTTTCCCTGATAATTGATAACCCGGTAGCGAATTTCTCTCGCGTAGAAGAGGGCTTTTCACTTCGTGCCTGGTTGGTTTCAGGTGACGCTCGGTGAATGCGTATGCACGTATAATGCACGCGGTGATTCGTTCGCATCGATAGCTCTGCAACCTTGGCGGCGATCCAATTCGAGCACGGGGGAGGGGGAAAATCACACGGCGGGCCAGGTGTGTCCACGGGCGAAATCAGCTGTCCCGTTCCGATCGAACGCGATCGGAAAGACGAACACACACACACACAGGGAGTGATTAACTAATTTCTTTACTTTCGTATCGAAATAGAAGCTTCGAAAGATCTAGGGAAAATGTATCGTTACAACATATCAATCATTGTTATAAGTCGTTCCGGCTTGTTTGGTAATTCTAGTGTTGAATATCGTTGGAAAATTTGTAAGCACTACAATTTAAAACAAGACCAGCAGCTTCGCTGAACTAAACGCATATGTGTTCGACGATTTATGACTTAAAAAGCAAAATGAAACGTGTCTGACTACGCACGGCCTTTTTCACTGCGGCAATCAACGTGTTAACGTACGTCAGCCTGCACCGGGAACAATTGACCCATTCGCGTCGTACTGATAACCAGTACTTGCACAAACTTATTACGGCGTGGAAATCCTATGAGGAGTTCGGCTAATGGGTTAAGGCAACAATCACACCAAGGGTATTCAACCCCTCGCCTTACACGATTTCTTCGACGACTTCGCTCGCCGCAGTTACGTTATTTTTAATACTAGGCTCATAAGTAAAATGTAAAATGAAAAGTTAAATTATATATTAAATGCAGCAAAACCGTGTTCCGCAGTCCAGTTACAAGGCAACGGGGTTAAATGTGATTCGTCGATTAGCTCTGAAGGTACTTAACCACAAGACGAATGGGTTAAAAATTGCGCGTTTTAAAAAACGTTTTACCCACCACGAGACGAACCCTCCGGACCGACCGTCGTTTCCATTTCCCCGTGAACACACGATTTTTCGCCTGGATATACATATATATGTATATACAGAATGGGAAATAAGACGAAATAGGAATCACGTTTGCACACGGTACAGGAATACATATACTATCGATCTGAACAGGACCAACCGTTCGTGTTGTTATCGATACTCGGTCCCCCGGTTCGGGACACAATTGTCCTTTTCCTTTGATTTTCTAGATCGTTCTCCGGTATAAGATCGTCCGTCATCATAGTTTTTCAGTGCAACTTTTGCAGCGCAGCGATCCCAAAAAGACAGTTCTATTCGCGAACGACCACTTATCCCAAGCGATCCATTCGTCGTTGCGCAACAAAGACGTTATTAGTACTAAGACAAAAGGGACGAGGACGCCGTTAGCTGAATATTCGTCTCGCGATCTCGTTAAATGGGACGTCCGCGATAAAGCCCACGACGCCGGTAGAAAGAGGGGCATACATACACGTACAGATACACACACACACACACGCATCAGATACACGTGTACGAAGAGCAAGAAGATCGGTGGTGAAGATCAGTAGGTACAGGCGGATCGCGAGTCGATCCTATCGACGTAGCAGCGAACACGCGGCAGGAAGCGAATCTGGGCCGTCGAATCAGGGAAAAGTAAGTGGGTCAAGAGAACGAATCGCTCGGCCGGTGTCGGCGTCGGTTGCGACTTCTGCCGACTACGCGACTACACGGTGGAGTGACGACACAGCTCGATGCACACACAGGTATATATACACAATCAAAACTGCATCATCAACGACGACGAACGCGTGCATCTCTCTTTCAGTCCTTTCACTTTGCATCTGCACGTTGCTGCGTACCGCGGGGGGAAGTCATGCTGCTGCTTCACCCGTGGGTTGCCTTCACCCCCCCCCCCTCCTCGTTCTTGAGTCCGCGCGGTTTTTCAACGTCTTTGTCCCACCACGACCGAACTAGACGAACGTTTCCTGCCTGGCATATGCCGACAGTTACGTGGAAATTGAGCACGAGCTTGGCTTGACCGATATATTTCTAGCGGGGCAGCAGAACCGAGCGCCGCTTTTAATTGGACCCTGTTCCACCGTGAACCGTATCGTCCGCAATTAAATGCCTCACGTTCTACCCATCGACTCGCTTCGGATTTTCGAGCTTTCCTCCTTGAGGTAGAGATTCATATTGTTATGTATGTTTGTTGGGATGTACTACGTTCTAGGTTGAAATTGGTGAACTACCCTGAATCACCTGTGTCCCAGGTCCTAGGTCAAAGTGTGTAGGGTAGCCTGAATCATCTGAATCTTAGGTTAAAGTAGTATCCTGATTGATTAGCTAACAAGAGAACTTGGCTACCACGACAATTCTGATCCCCACTACTGAAGGTATCCGCGCAGAAAATTCGGCCCGAAGTGCAGTTCAGAAGTGACACAACAATTCATTAATTGAAGAAATCGTATACCTCCGCGATGACTGCTCTAAAGTAGTCCCGAGTTTCGAGCGTTAATCGAAGAGTAACTGTACTTAACACTAGAATTACCGAGCCAAAATCATTTGTCAGTACCTTCTTATAACAATACGAGCTTTTATTTCAGTATGGCAAAAACCAGTGAATGTTATAAATTTGTAAGTTTCGCAAATTTTGTCACGTTTATCGAAATAGACACACGTTTATCGTCGGTAATTCTAGTGTTAAAGCCGTGTTATCTCTCCGAACCGTCGACGGCATATCGAACGCGGAAAGCGTTTTCTTTCACGCGTACGATTTCTACACGTCAGTTCGCGTGTCTCACAGGCTTCCTCGTTAACACCGTGGATTGGTCGATCGATATCGAACAATAGCATAAGGATGACCGTGCTGGTAGTAAAGAACAGCAACGCATATCGAATTAAAAACGGGACAGGTCTGTCCTACAGCACGTGAAAACTTCTCCGTTGTGTCTCGTCGAATATCCGTATCGACTTTCGAAATCGAGGAAACACCCGATCGTATTAAAAACTCTCGAACTGTTTTGGGCACGAATGAAACACGACGGACCATCCCGAGACGGACGTACGATCGATCCGATTCTTCTCTTGGGAATGCTGTCTCGCCGCTCCGTAATCGACGACAAGTGAAATTACGTAACGACTGCCCCGATTTACCCAACCTGACCCCACGGGGAGACTTTTTCTCTCAGACTCGAAAATTGAATCGGGTCGTGTACGCTTGTACGACGTTGCGTCACGAATCTTTCGAACTCAGGCGTACCAGTTTCGGGAAATTACACCTCGATGTACACTTTTACCTGTCATAAATTACGAAACAAAGCAACAAATTGGGCACTTTGTAACAAACTTTCTTTCATCATTTCTGGATTTTACGATTGGTTAAATTCTATTTCTGTTACAAATTCACGAAATTTCTTTATCGAAAATGAAACTTTCTCTTCAAATGTCGACCATTACGATAAAGAAAAAACAATATTTTAAAATATCTATGACTAATATCATCGTAATCCAGAAACACAAATAACAGATGCTCACAAAAATTGTTTGTTTCGTAATTTTCGTCGGTAAGCGTAGATTCAGGATCGCGTCGAGGTGATCTGTGTCCGGTTGGTTCGAGGCGATCGTAACGATGTCGGGGAACACGGAGGGGTTCCAACGTCACTCGACTAATTTCCATACGATTTTCCGGAAAAACAATCGGTTTCGCATCGCAGCTCTTCCGTGTCCGACTTTCCATCGTATGCGCGCCCGCACAGGTATCTTTAGCCGAGCAAGCGCGAACCGTGACGCACGGAAAGCAGCCAGCGGCGGCCGTCTATACCGGCGCGCCGACCTTGGTCGCGGCGACCGACATGATTTTCCAGAATTTCAAGCGAAATTTAAAATTTCAATTTCTTTCCCCCTCTGGCTGCAACAATGTCGCAGCACATCTAACCCGTACACGGTGGGACACCTTTTTCATGCGGCGATTCGTAATTCAGGGACGAGAAGATACACAGGGAGACCTTGCCTCGTGTATGATCGCATCGGTTGCCGGTTCCGCGTGCTATTCGCGTGTAGGTACAGTGAGGGACAAAAGTGTGCACCCTTTAAAATGAAACAACTTTTTTAAGATTTGTCCAAATGACTCGAGTTCTTTTGTGAAGTTAAAGACATTAGTTTACTAAATGATGCGTAAACAAAAATTGAAAAAGTTTTAAAGAACGATCTTAACTATTTTCTTCGTGATTTGGAACAATTGTAGTAAATTGTTGTAAACTAATTTTACAGAAGAACTCAACTTTAAAAAAGTATTTAAAGGGTATACGAATACTTTTGTCCCCCACTGTACATATACACGTACGTATTTATTAGCATTTCCCGTGAGTGTGGAAAGGTTCGTGGAAAAGTTCGAGCCGACGTCCGATTAACTTCTCCGTTGTCCACGTCTCCTTTTCCGATACGCAACCGTCACACACTGGGTCAATTTGACCCGAGCCAGTATTCTATCGGTCAATTAAAAAAAACTTCGTTGTATTACAAGTCGCGAAAAATTTCAAGATAAACGTTTCTCTTCAGAAAAGAGTTTCGCGTGAAATCATCAGTTCCCTCGATGGACGTTCGAAGTGAACTGAACGATAAGTACACTGAATCCCGGTTATTTGGGGCACGTTTGCGCTTCGGCTCGATTAAACGATTGTATCAATTATGCAAAGTATCTCACAAATGAATGCAGTACATTCTATCGTTCGAGCTCTGTCCCAAATAAAAAAACAGTTGCTCCGATCAAGTGGCCCAAATAAACGGTATCAGCTGTAATTTCCATGGATAGATCGGCTCGAACTTATATCGCAGGGACTGTAGGGCAGGGAAAGATTAGAAAATCTGAAGTTTCGTTCGACTTACGTGTAGGTGGCTGACGGTAATGCAAGTGCTGTAGACTCTGCGTCTGATGGTGGTGATGATGGTGGGGCGGTCCCATTGTCGGGCCCATCGGGTGGTTCCCGTGCTGATGGTGGGGCGAGCTCCCTCTGTGCGGATGGTACTGGGATGGATGATGCTGATGAGGATGATAGGAGGGCGGCAGGAAGCCCGCCGTCGACGGATAAACGCCGGGACTGTGACAGGCTGACCTGCCGAGCGCTGCTGTCGGACATTCACCAAAAAGACGTTCGATAAGAAAAGACGTTTGTGTCGGTGGCGCTGTACTCCCCCCACCCCCCATGCTTGCTTAGAAACGTCGTTGGGCGAATCGATAACCGTGTCGGGATCGTTGTCCAATGGTGCTCGCGATTTTCGACGTTTCCAAGCGTTCAATTTTGCAAAACCGTTTCCACTGGGAGGAATTGAGGATCAAGAGATTCGTCAATGATTCAACGGTGAGAGGGGAACACGATTTCGGTGTTTGTTCGGGATGGGCGAATTTGGAACAGGATCGGCGAACCGTCCGTCATGGAATTATGACGTCTGTATTTAGCCCAGAGGTGTTCGTCTGCGGGTCGTCTAGGGGTAACACCGTCTGGGCTCGATTCAGCTCTATTAGCGATTAACCCCTTTAACTTATTTCGTAATTATGAAACTGAATATCTTATTTTGAAGTTGAAAGTATCGGTATTAAACCAACCACAGAATTTCATGCACTTTTAACAGTTTTAACCCTCGGATTGTGTCTGAGATGCGATAGTAATAGTAATTGTATTAGTGTAATAGTAATTAATAGGGTAACAGTTATAACACCGGAATGCAATAATGGGAGTTAAAGAGGTTTAACGAGCCGCCTCCCGTTTAATCGAAGGGAACACGTGTATATATGGATTCTCGCTTACCTGACGACAAATGAGAGTGATGGGACGCCAGGCTCGGTTGCAGGGACGTGTTAGGGTTCAGCCTGGCCTTCAGCAAGAGATTCGCGTCCTCGTTACCGCCTGAGGACGTGCTGGACTCGACGTCGCTGACTCCGCTGTCCGCGGGGCTAGCTGGCAGTGATCCGCTTCCTGTTCGTGCCGTGCAACAAAAAGAGAAAAACATCCGATTGGTAATTGGCGTCATGGGGATCGAACGTCGGGACAGAAAACTCGGTCGTCGTGCACACGACGATCTCGTGACGATTCCGAAACGATTTTCCGTTCTGTCACCCCTTCTCCTCTATTCGACTCTGAATTACACACGTGTTCAGTTTCGCACTAAACTGTACACATAGTTTTCGTGGGTTCCGATATTTTTATATTTTACATTTTAATATTTAATATTTTATAGACACACAACGTACAGCGTTCGTTCTATCCGCCGATCAAAAATGATCATCGGTTACTGGAATACGAAATTAAAATCACCACCGTATGTGATAACTGAAAAAAAAAAAACGGCGTGAAGTTCGCATACCAGAAGGAGGGTCTCGAATTTCCACGCGTTTCAACGATGGACCCAAAGAGAGATAGAGGGAGAGAGACAAAGATACACAGACTCATTCCGCTCGGTTTCTCCGGGTCTCTTTGTGCTACCCGAGCGATTTAGATACTCTTCTCCGAGGTGGTCCGTAGACGTTCCCGTCCAGGGCTCCTTCGACCGTCGAGAGGAGCTCGCTCGTTCGCTTTATCGAGCACCAGACACCGCCGAACGTGTTTTCGCGTGCGCCGTCAATTAAAGGCATCTTTATGCAACGGGCGAAGGTCATCCGGTCATTGGGTATGCATATCGGTGGTGCTTCCCACGGTCTCTTTCTCTCCCTCTTCCCGTCACTCCTTCTCTCTCTCTGTCTCTTTTTCTATCTCTGTTCATCGATGAAAGAAAAGACAGAGATAGATAGGGAGAGAAAGCTAACCGTCTGAAACCAGTCCTAAAAGGTCCAGGCGTTCTGGTCCCGTATTTCGTTTCCTCTTGTCGATCTCACCACCGCCACCGCCGCTATCATTGTCGTCTTTTCCGACCTGTATCGATCCCAGAGTGTTGCGTAAAATGGAAAAAGACGGTCTGTTGTGTCTCCGTAGACCCAGTGAGTTGGTCACTATTTTATTCGAATAATACGTACTGAAAAGTACAGTAAATCCTCGACGAATGTTCCAAGGCTCCTCCGCACTGACAAGTGGAATGTCCCAATTCTATTCGTTATTCGAAACTCTTTATTTAAACAATGAATTTGCCCATCTCTGCGTGGACCTGGCCCCTCCGATGCAAGTCGGTCCCGATTCCCGAATTCTCGCCACGTAGCGACAGTAGCTTTATGCAACCAGCCGATTATTTCGGTAATCGACCTCCCTCAGACGGAACGTAGAGCTGCTGCTGCTACTTTGCTCTCTCTCTCTCTCTCTCTCTCTCTCCCCTGCTTTCTTTGAATTGGATCGTTCGCGAAACAGAGACACAGACAGCTCTCTCCCCCGGTGCGTGGTGCTTACGCAAGAAACTTTTGCAGAAAGGTTTCGGAGGGGATCGCTATGACCCGATCTCATCGCTTTCCACGATGTGGTTCCTCGGTTGTTTTCTGTTCTGTTTTTTTTTTTTTTCGTTTCTTTATTTCCCTTTCTTCGGGTGAGCCACTCGGTGGATCGAAATCACACACGTTGAGTGGCAGTAAACGGCGGGGAATTAAAACTGAACAAGACGAGACAGTCGAGAGGGAACAAAAGGCTCATCCTCTATGCAGGATTCATGCCCTTAGATAGCTACTTGTTGTGGATCCTACCGTGGAGTCAAGTATTCCGCAATTTTTGCATAAGCAAATTTTTTCTGAATGGTATACATTGAGGGACCCCCCCAGGTTGCTTGTTCCTGGGTGTGATCCGGTTGAAGAGCAATCAAGGGAGCTTCTCGATCAAGGGTTTCGATCGCGTCGAGACGTAAAATTGTGGACTCGAAACTCGATATATTTAACCGGCTCACTGCATCTTTTTTATGTGTTGTACAACAAAATTTCCAGTACTCGCGGAAACATTGTTTTTCTAATGTCAGAATCGAAGTCGAAATCAAATTTTAACAGCTCAAACGGTGAAAAAGATCATCACATCAACTTATTATTAAACACGGAAGATTAATTGTTGCGTTAAAGCGCGACCGTCCGAGATATATCCAACAGGAGATTTGCCCCAGGCTTGCCCGTGAAAACTCCGTCGATCGAGAGAGGAAAGTCTGCAAACGTTTCAGCCACGCCGGAAGTGATTTCCCGTCCGGCTGTTTACCGACCCCCGTCTCCGTCGTCGTCGATGTCGCTTCGTAAATATTGTTATTGGCCTGACCGTCGAACGGAAAATCGATCGGTTTGGACACGCGATAAAACTCGCTCGTAGAAACCTACTCGCGTATGAACCTTAAACCCTCCGTTGTCACACTGGGTCTAATTAATTTAAAATTTGAAACTTTCAATGTTCATTACTTCACCATAAAGATACAATTTAAACTGTTCATTTCGGAATATTTCCGACTCAATTCGACGAATAGTTTTTAATAAACCAACCGATCGAATCTTGCCTTGATGTGACAACAGGGGGTTAAAGGGATCAGGAACAACTTTAGTTGGATACTTGGAACGGAAACGAAGGAAGAGAGAACTTTCGAACTCTTGTTGACTACTGTTCACTGACCTGGTGTACTCGTCGTCGCGATAGTGGCAGTGGTGTAGGGCGGTTGGCCCATTTGAGCGTGGCCGGGCAAATGGCGGCCGTATCCGTTCTGCACCCCGAGACCGTGTTGCTGGGGATGCTGGGACAGAATACCGTGCAACAGACGTGTACCCGTCGTGGTCGTCGTGGTACCTGTCGATCCTGGTTCCGCTTTCACGCTCGCGAGGCCCAGTTGCTCCTTGTCGCTACCATCGTGCGGCTGGACCTCCCTGGTGTCCACTGTAATCACACAAGGAACAAGGAAAAACGGTTAGCCTCGTTTCGTTCGGATGAAATCTCGATCTTGTCGATAGCCCCCACCTGGGATACATAGTTTCTACCCTGTTTGCCTATTTTTCTCACTCCACTAGAATACTGGGGAATAACTGATTCTGGTAGAAGACCCTTTATGTCTATTTCTCTATTTAGGAGTGGTTACTCGCCTGGACAGCCGACCTTCTCCACGTTCACGAGAAGAAATCGAATCGTCGGGTGCCCAGAAACGGTAGAAACTCGACAGAGTGGGATCGTATCTCGACGATAGACGCGCATCAAGAACGCTTGGGAGGAAGTACATACGGTGTAGAATAAAAAAAAAGAGACCGACGTGTTCTCGCTCGCTCGCTCTCGAAAGGGGGATATAACACGGCGGCAGCGGTTGCGGAGAGGAAGTGAAAGCCGGTGTGTCTCTCCTTGACCCACTGCAACGTTTCTACCTTCCTTTCAGGCAACGGCGAACCTCGCCGGCTTCATTAAGCAATTTCTCGTGGCGACGACGGGGCATGGAAAAATCCGCCACGATGCTGGAAAATCGACGTATCGCTTGGGATGCTGCTGCGAGGCTAGCCGCCGTAACGGGAGACCGCTTTCTTCGTTAATACCTCTGCCCCACACACACGACCTGACACCGCCTCTACCCTTTTCCCCTTCCTCGACAGACGATCAGTCGTTTCACTTCGCGCAAGAAGTGTGTCGACCGCTTTTTTTTTTTTTATCCACGCCGTTTACTTTTCGGCGCCCACACACACACACACGTACGTACGGTTAAACGATCGAGCCACATCGGGGGGGTTGTGCAATCGGATGATGGGGTCCACAATATATTTCGCGCTCCAGACGAGTCTGGCTGGGCTTGTCTCGTGAGAAAGTCGCCGTCCGATGACGAAACACCGGGACACCGAGAGAAAGAGAGAACGAACGACCCACCGGAGCGATTTCCTTGTTTCGTGTCAGACCGTTCAGGTGGCGAGGTATATCGGAGACCTTTAACAAGGGAAGCAGCCCAACTGTCCGACTTCGATTTTAACGGGGATTTTCGTAAGATCAGAAAAATTCCTTAGAAATTTCCTGTAGCTTAGAATCGGCGTGTCAATTAAGAAATGTTGTGCGCAGGCGTACGCGACGTGATGGGAGAGCGAATTTGTGTGCTCGAAAATACGTGTGAAGGGGAAATGCCTCGCGTGGCAATATGTGAATTGAATCGGTAATTATGACCACGTAAATCGAGCCCACGAGGGTGCGTTTAGCTGCAAACGATCGGTTTCTTCTCGAGCCGTATACATATACGATCGAGGGGAACAGATGCGAGGTTCTGAGACGCGCGCTCCGCGGAGGAAGAGAAAGACTAGGGCGGTGGGGGTTGCACGCGAGAACGAACAAAGGGGAAAAAAATAGAAGAGGCGAAAGGAAGGTCGGAGGGAAGAATAATGAGAGAAGTCACGGAGAGCGAAACGAGCCTCCACCAGTGTCCGTGCTGGTACTTTTTCAGGAACGGCAGACTGGCCGTTGTTGCGTCTGACGTAAGCCACGAATATCCGGTTCTGTATGATATCCGGTGCGATAGTCGTTGGGCACTCTGAGCACGGAATTAAATAGACGAATTTCTATCGATCGCTGAACCGTATCACTTCGCTGGAAATCTTTCCCTTTTTTCCGTAGGTTTCTTTTTAGAAACTTGTTCGTACGACCGTTACTATCATTCGGAGCGGAAGCTCGACAGTTTCAACGAAATTCGGAGAGTAGATGGTATCGCCGTGGCCTCGAGTTTAAGGATCCCGTTGACCCCTGTTAACCCTAAAACTACACACACACACACCCTTACGAGGCCGAGGAGCGTCGAGGCTAATGCATTGCCCCGATCGACCAACTCTCGTCGATTATACGAGCCCACGAACCATCACCTGAATTATTTCCCCGGCGATTCTCCGGTATTTTTCGAGACGAATCAAAGTTGCAAATAATCGGCTTGTTACCGGGGGAAGGGGAGGGCCAGGCTCGTTTTCTCCTCGCCACGATCACAGCGTGTTCCGTTCCGTGTTCCAACAACCACGGGGTAATAATATCGATTCCACGGGAATCGCCCCGACGATTTTGTCCTCGAACCCACCACTTTCTGCTGGCGGCGATCGCTTCCGTTCCAGAAGCACCCCCATCCCACCTCCATCCAAAGTGTACATTACATTACAAAAAGGAAAGCTGGCGAGCGGTTGACGTACTAGTATTTCTTTTTGATAAACAAAACCGAGTGTTTGTTCGCGTAGAAGTACGTCTTTCTTAAATAAAAACTAGAATAGTAAAAAATACGGGAAAATCAATATTTCTGAAATTACATACAATGATTTCAATGTAAACGCTACAACGAACCAATCGTAGTTCGTTGTAGTATACCCCACTGTATAAGGAACCCAGCAGTCCCGTGTATAAGATAGAAGTCCGTGGAACTTACACGTGGAAAAAGATGTTGGAAATATTCCCCTCGGATTTCTGGGCTGATATTCCAGAGAGCTCGATTTCATCGACAAAAAGAAAAAAACGAAAAAAAAAAACGTCTCACGACGAGCTTTCGAATTTCGTATGGGCGTTAATTAGTCGACACGATTGCCCATGATGGAAGGAAAAATCCCACGACCACCACTGTAGGGGTGTGAAATAACGACGTCGAGATCGCGTCGAGAGACGCAACGTATCCCCGGAAAGGGGTTAATCGCCTCTTTTCGAGAGCTCGAAGACCGATCATCGTTCGTTCTCTCCCTCCTTCTCTCTCTCTTTCGCGGCGTAGGTCTTCCGAGGATCGTTTGTTCATGATCCTCGGCCATCTTAATTGCGAACGGCTGCACCGTCTCGTTAGCGGGCGAATCGAGTGTTCCCCACGGAGAGTGAGTTCGACCTTGCTTGACCTTGACTCGCCCCCTCGCGACTGGAAAGGGCGGGTGTGTCTAGCCGCATCGACCGTACATCCACGCTTCGGCTCGACACGTTCGTTTCGAGGTGTATAACCGAAGGAATTTTCACCTTTTGCCTTCTCTCGTCTCTTTGCTTCTATTCTCGAATCTCACTTCCGGTAGATCGACGAACCAACGCTTTCTGAGATGTTCTTGCCCTCGAGACGAGGGGGATAGAGAGGTTTCGTCGCGTTGAGTTTTCGAGATCGAGCAGGTTCACGACCAGGGGATGATTCTTAATTACGTATCACAATAATGTTCGTATTATTTTTACTGAAATATCGATGGTCTTTCGTTCCATTGGACAGAGACTTCTCCATTCCTTGTTCGTTAGGATCGCCATTACAAGCAGAAGTAATAAAATAAATCCTTGATTGATGCCCGAAACTCGGGCCTGCTTTGGAAGTTATCGTATAGGGACACTATCACCGCGCCTCTCGCAAACACAGTGGAGTCGCGATAACTGCGCACTGGATAAATACCCGTTGGGACTGACCTCTGCTCACGTGCATACTCACACACGCGTGCACCCCAATGAAAAAAACTATAGAAGCATTTAACGTGGAAATCTTTCCGATCATTTACCGATAATATACTCTACAAGCGCGCCATCTTCTTGCACTATCCATTCCGCTGGTATTCTCCAGCACGCTATACCTACTTCGCGCGTCACAGAAACTCGATTTGCGATCGAAGGTGTCGTAAAACCGTGGCCCGATTTCCGGTCGATTGCGACACAGCGGACTCCATACCACGGAAACATATTAAGTCGGACAACCACACGGTGGTTATCAGCCTCGTGGAACAAACGTACGTTCGCGGAAATTCTCGCGAAATGGGGGAACAATATGATTAGCCAAGATATGCATACCAGACGTCGGTTGCATCCCGATCGGTCGTGTTATAATTTCGCTTTTCACACTTCCTCGGGGGCCTCACCTCCCCACTTCGTGCCTCTGTCGTAACAGCACCCGTCGTGTCGCGCAACCATCCTGTCCAGGTTCACGATTCGGCGATCGGGGCCCCGAGAGAACACGATTACCGCTATACGTACATGTATACATACACGCGTGCGTGCGTGCGTGAGTGCGTGGTACGTAAGGTCAGCGTTTGCCTGGGCCACGCGCAACTTTCTCGTCGCGTACACGCACGCACGCACGCACACCTTCCGGCCCCCGGGCGCATTGCGTAACGGTAACGACTCTCTCTTTCTATGTGACATCACGTGCGCGCGAGCGAGCGAGCGAGCGAGCGAGCGCGAACAAGCGCCTTCGGTATATGTATGTCGGTCGTTCGCGAACGACAGGAAAGCAGCGGCGCAAGCGAGTTTCGTGAATCGACTCCGCGATTCCTCGTTTCGAACGAGTGTTTACGACCGCGATTCTGGATGATCGCGTCGGTGGACTGGAATGTGTACAGGGGTGTTCAAGGAAAATGGATCCGAGACAACGGTGGGAAAACTGCGGCTGCCACAGAATATTGAGAATATTAAATTTTCAACAGTTTTCAACGTTTATCCAGCGATCGAAGCAAATATGCGTTTATCGTCGGTAGTTCTAGTGTTAATTAGACTGCGGATTTTATGCGTCTATCTCGTGCACGTTTGTCGCCGAATTTGAAGACGCAATGTATCTTAAATGTGCATACTAATGCTACATATCTATATCAAGAGGTTATTTGTGTAATATATTTTTAAAAGGGTATATTAAAATTACCGTTCAGTCGGAAACTTTTGACCAAGCTTCTTGTTTACTGTAAACTTCTAATATATCCCAGAACCTTTTCGCTTGAACACCCTGTACACTCGATCAGTAGATACATACCGTTACGAGCATCAGACTGGTACACGACCAGTTCTATCGATGGAATATCAATTGGAGCACGTAATATGTTCGTGGACCGAAGGATTGCACCATTTACACGGAGCATCCCTAGACGATTTCTCGAAAGTTTTGTCGAGTGTGATCATTAGTACGGAAAATAGTGGTAGATCCTGGTTCGAGATCGCGAACACCAGTG